TCCACAGTGTATGTGAACGTTGTTACTGAAATATTCCACCACATAATCGTAGATATCGACATTGATGACAAAGATTCTTCCAAGAGATAAGAAAACAATCATAGCAATGGTGCTGTCCACCTTTTTTCCAAGAGATAAGAAAACAATCATAGCAATGGTGCTGTCCACCTTTGTTTCCAAGAGATAAGAAAACAATCATAGCAATGGTGATGTCCACCTTTGTTTCCAAGAGATGAGAAAACAATCATGGCAATGGTGATATCACCTTTGTTTCCAAGAGATAAGAAAATAATCATAGCAATGGTGCTGTTCACCTTTGTTTCCAAGAGATAAGAAAATAATCATAGCAATGGTGATGTCCACCTTTGTTTCCAAGAGAAGTTCAGTGATTTTTTTTAGAGTAACGAAGGTGAATGAAAACACTGTCTTGCTCTTGGAAACAAAGGTGGACATCACCATTGCCATGATTGTTTTCTCATCTCTTGGAAACAAAGGTGGACATCACCATTGCCATGATTGTTTTCTTCATCTCTTGGAAACAAAGGCGTACAGCACCATTGCTATGATTATTTTCTTGGCCGTAATAGCAGCTTAGATTCAGCGTGTTAAAAATTTTGCAAGATGCTTGAACGTGTCTTGTGTTATATATGTGATCTGTAAAATGGTATGTATAAACAATAAAGTAGTTCACAACTGTCTATTGAGGGAAATACTTGCAAATCAAACATTTAAGTGGATTCCAAAATGTATCTAATGGATTAAAAAAAGATAGTTCAGCCCAAAAATAAATGGAGGTTTTAATAAAATGGTCATTTGAGCGTAGAGTTATGATTGGAAGTCTATCTCAGTTATACGCATCTCCTAACATATTGTTATGACTCACAGCTGGTGCCACAAAGTAAGAGTGGTTCCAGGATGTTAACTGATGAATTACAGCAGACGTTTCTGATGAATTTATTTATCCAATTGGAAAATAATATTGTCTACGTAGAATAAGTTAATGTTTAAACCTATTATTATTGGCTAGAAAGACCGTACTTAAGCAACTGAGACCTCAAAATGTAAGAGTAATCCGCTAGTTGTCGTTTTCACACTCTTCTGGTGTTGATCATTCTTTTGAAATGTGACATAGGTGCTTGTAGTACGAACCTTATGATTCTTCTCAAGTCATATCTTCTCCAAAGAGGCATGTGTATACATTTAGATCAATTTTTTAATTTAGCACAGTTGGTTTGTTTCTTTCTTTCGACATTCGTGCAAAAGCTACACAAATGCTATATGCACTAGCCGTTTCTAATTTTGAACTGACAGATGAGAGGGATAGCAGCTAATCAACAGAACCCACAGCGAGTTTTGAGGTTATTCTAACCGATTAGTGGGATTTGGATATCTCTATTATAACACACTCACGACCCAAAATGCTAAGCGCGATTAATTCTTCAGCAAGAGGGCGTGACTCATGAAACCTCAGTTCCACTGTTTAACCACTTGGCCGCGCTCGTACCCCCAGCACAAGAAAGGTTGCTATTTAACTTGAGACAAAGATTACGTATACTTCTATACAAAGCACAACCTCTGTCCTTGGCGAGACGTTGTTTAACAGTAAATCCTTTCAATCCAATTTCCCGTTACAAGTACCTTCCTTAGTTGTTCATTCAAAACTAGTATAAATAAATATCAACAAACAAATGATCTATTTAAATGAAAGTGTTTGTTGCACCAGCACGTCATTATTTTTATAAACATCTGATTTGGAACATTTAGAAGCGTCAACTTTTATCCCACGTGATTTCTTTAAAATTAATTTGTTTCGTTAAGTGCACTTGTTTGTTTTTTTGTTGTTGTTGTTTTCGTTATACTTGATAAGTTTTATCAATTACATATACGGCAGGAAGCAACATTCTTAAAATATTCCAAATACAAGGTTTTCCTAGGTTTTTCCTAAACGTTTTCTTTCGGCTTTTGATAAGTGTTTCAATTTCTCTCTGCGTTTTTTGCTAAATTTATCAGCCGTTATATTTCGAAATTACAAAATAAAACTAACTTTTTCACATTTTTATATTTTAGTGAGTAAACGTCTACATCATCACCAAATGCAGCTTATATACACGTGTATGTAATAAGATATGCTGCATTATGATATATCCTAATATAAATACATAAAATCGAAATAAAGTTAATGATCTTAAAACTTACTTTTAGCACCACTATATGTGTGTGTGTGTGTATAAACCTCCCGTCGTTTTCTCTACATGTTTTACTTCTTCATGCAGGTAAGTAAAGCCTTGTGGTTAGCGTGCCGGGCTGCGGGTCCGAAGGTCCAAAGTCTGAACCTGCGATATGCTGATGAATACACTCCGCACTTTTGGCTATGACGCATTATAAAAGTGACAGTCAGTTCAACTACTATTCTTGTAAGAGCAGCCATAACATGACGAGTGCTTCTGAATCGTTGCCTTCTATCTGGTGATCAGTTTTAAATAAGAGTTGGCTATATCTGAAACTTAATAACTTTAACCTGGCCGTTTAGTATTTGTGTCTCAGAAGAAGAAAGGTTGAAAGTAGTACATATCATCCTCTTCTTGAACTGATTTCATAGTTTTAGGCTACTCATCAACTTCATAAAAAATAGATAACATAAATTTTGGTAGAATTAATTCACTTTAAATGGTTAAAACCACTTACAAAACACACCATTCGAAATAAGGGCTTTGTATTTGATCTAAAACATTGTTATTATTTATTCAATCTTACAATTAAGGATGGGTCCGACCCTGTTGGCTTATTAAATACATTTCCTAAACTATTTGTGCACCAATTTACTTCTGAGTCCATGATTTGTTGGTTAAAGGACCCATAGTAACATATGAGCCACACAAAACAAACACATCGTCAATATTGTACTCATTAATGCCTGAAAGGCACTTTACATAAAACTTAATTATTTCATTCAAAATCTGGTTATTTCGTCACGCTGAATTTTGTAACTGCATAAAATTACACAATATAATGCAATATATGGACCCTACCGGTAGTGAAGGGTACAAAAACAAGCCGGTATAATTTGACGATTTGAACTCAGACAGTAAATAAAAATCGCCTTTCATAAAAAAATAGCATAGAATAGTTGATTTTTATTTAACATAATTTCGTACATATAACGTATTCTATAGTTTCGAAATAATGATTTGAAGTGTTATAGTTCTGTCCTTAGAATCGTTTTCGAGAATGGTAATCACAAGGTCATTCACAATAGTTGATTTTTATTTAACATAATTTCGTACATATAACGTATTCTATAGTTTCGAAATAATGATTTGAAGTGTTATAGTTC